CTACTCTGCTTTGTTGTATTCAGTATTCACCTTTTCAGAAATCCACACACGTATGGGCTTATTTTTGAGTATCACATGGTTTTAAATATTTCTGCTTTATATTAAGTCCAGTCCCCCAAAGCTTCATTTGTGTTTCATTCAAATTATATTAATTTATAATGTTACATGTCAATTTTATCTCGGTAAAAAAAATGGAATTATACTAAATTTATAGATTCATTATTGGAGGAAGCTGAGTTTTTTTCCTGAACATGGTATATCTATTATATTCATTAGTCAAATGTTGTTTTATATCCTTTGATAAGAGCTTCACAATTCTCTTCATGTCTTGCACACAGTTTAAATTTATTCCCAAATACCTTGTAGTTTTTATAGCTATTTGGAATGTGATTTGTTTTTTATAGTCTCATTAGTTATTATGATCATACAGGAGCATGATTAATGTTATGTTCATCTTGTGTTCAGCAACATTAATGAAATCATAAACTAGCTCTAATGGTTTAGCTATTGATTCTTTTAGAATTTCTGTATAGAAATCATGCTATCTGCTGAGATAATTTTGTCTCTTTACTTTCTAATTCTTGCTTTTATTTCTTATTGCTTAGACCTCCAGTACAATGTCAAATTGAATTGATTGCCTGTCATCTTATTTATGTTACAGAAATTTCCGTCATTAAATGTTTACTATAGTTTAAAGAATTTCCTTTCTAGTCCTAGTTTGCTCTTGAAATTCTCTGTTGATAAACTTAATGGCTTTAAACAATAAATATTTCCTCATATTTTTTTGGATCAGGAATCAGGAACAGCTTAGCAGAGTGGTATTGACTCAAGATCTTTCAGGATGTTGCAGTCAAGATGTTGGCTAGAGCTGCAGGTACCTGAAGGCTTGTCTGGGCCTGCTTCCAAAGTGTTCATTTTCGTGCCTGGCAAGATAGTGCTGGTTGTTGGCAGGCTTCAGTTTCTCTCCACGTGGACCTCACAGTAGGGTTCCTTGAGTGACCTTCTGACATGGCGCTGGCTTTCCCCAGAGTGTATGTTCTGAGGGAGAGCTAGGAGAATGTTTCATGACAAGCCTTTGAATCACACACCATTACTCCCACCATAGATTGTTGGGTAGAAGTAAGTTACTAAGTCCAGCCCACACAGTAGGAGGGAAATAATGCTCCACAGAAGTTCATTTGTGTGTTGATGTTTTTTTAGCCTCTTCACCCCCACTAAGTTGCAGAAGTCTGTATATCTTTGCCTTAGACCCCTCCTTTGAGCCCCCTAACTTTTGTATCCAGCAGCTGTGGCTAACATCTCTCCTTGGAGGTATTAAAGGCACCTCATCTTAAATAAGTCCACAATCAAACTTAGGTTTCTTCCCATCTTGATTCTCCTTGCTCCCAAAAATTGGTCCTCATTTACTAGCTCATTTCTGTGATCGGCACCACTCTGTATCCAGTTGTACAATCCAGGATTTCCTCACCTCTTCACCTTCATCTAATCATCCTTAATCCCACTGAGTTTGTCCCTTAATATCTACATCTGTCCACTTTTTAAAAAAATATCTTAAAAATATATTTTATTGATTTTTTTACGAGAAGAAGGGAGAAGGATAGAGAGTTAGAAACGTCGATGAGAGAGAAACATCGATCAGCTGCTACCTGCACACTCCCTACTGGGTATGTGCCCACAACCAAGGTACATGTCCTTGACCGGAAGTGAACCTGGGACTCTTGAGTCCGCAAGCCAATACTCTATCCACTGAGCCAAACCGGTTAGGGCATACATCTGTTCACTTTTACCCAGCTCTAGCTTCATCCAAACAGTTTCCTCTTTTGTTTTCGATCTAGTGACCTTTCAGTGTTGGGTTCCTCTTGCTATAGATAGAGCCTTTGTTACTCACTGTCTGAAATGCTTATTTTCCCCTTAAATCGTGTCTTCCTCAGGGAATCCTTTTTGACAAAGTCCGGTCGATTACAGATGTTTATAATACTATATACATCCCTTCAAAGCATTTTTACAGTTGAAACATCTATGTGATAATGCCTGCTTATCTATAGTCAACTCTAAACTTTATAAGGGCAGGGAATATGTATTTTGTTCACTTCTGTATTCCCTACATTTATAGAGTTTGTGTTTATTGAATGAATTAATAAATGAATGAATATAATGATTATAGTTCTGTTTGAGAAATGGAACAAATGGAGTATATAATTAGTATATAAATAAAATAACCCAGGCTCTTATTACTGTGTTAGAGGATAACTATAATCTTTTTGAGTCTTTTAGTTCTCCTGGAAGAGTGTCCAGCTATAAATTAAAAGAATAGATCTACTGAAGGGTCTCCTATCTCAGACCTCTGCCTGGTCAGTAGATACAAAGTTAGTGACCTTACTTCTAGGTGCTTGAGAGTGCTGTGTTTTTGTTTTTGTTTTTGTTTTTGTTTTTGTTGTTGTTGTTGTTAAAGAATAGTTTATTGATTTTTAGAGAGAAGAAGGGAAAAGAGAGAAACATTCATGTGGCATCAATCTGTTGCTACCTGCTGCCCCCTACTGGAGATTGAGCCTGTAACCAGAGCATGTGCCTTTACTGGGAATCAAACCAGGAACCTCTTGATGCACTTGGATGACGCCCAAATAACTGATTCACACTGGCCAGGGCTGTTTTTCTTTTTCTCTCTTTTTTTCTTTCTTTCTTTCTTTCTTTTTTTCTTTCTTTCTTTCTTTCTTTCTTTCTTTCTTTCTTTCTTTCTTTCTTTCTTTCTTTCTTTCTTTCAATATATTTTATTGATTTTGTACAGAGAGGAAAGGAGAGAGATAGAGAGTTAGAAACATCGATGAGAGAGAGTCATCGATCAGCTGCCTCTTGCACACCCCCTACTGGGGATATGCCCACAACCAAGGTACATGCCCTTGACCGGAATCGAACCCGGGACCCTTCAGTCCCCAAGCCAACGCTCTATCCATTGAGCCAAACCGGTCTCTGCTGTTTTTCTTTCTTTAAATACTAGAGGCCCGATGCACAAAGATTCCTGTAAGAATGGGCCTTCCTTCCCCTGGCTGCCAGCACCACCTTTGCTCTGGTGGGAGCTGCCTTTCCGCCTTCCTACCTTCCCATGCTGCCCAGAGGCCCGGAGCAGTTGGGGCAGTGTGAAACACCTGTGTCCTGCCCCTGCCTCTCAGGGCCTGTGTATGCAAATTAACCAACCAGCTTTGTTGGGTTAATTTGCATAATGACTCCTGATTGGCTGATGGGCATTGTGAAGGTACAGTCAATTTGCATCTTTCTCTTTATTAGTAGATATTTCTTTTATTGATTTCAGAGAGGAAGGGAAAGGGAGAGAGAGATAGAAATATCAATGATGAGAGAGAATCATTCATTGGCTGCCTCCTGCATGTCCCCACTGGGGATTTAGCTTGCAACCCGGACATGTGCCCTTGGCTGGAATCGAACCCAGGACCCTTCAGTCCGCAGGCTGATGTTCTATCCACTGAACCAAACCAGCCAGGGCTGTTTTTTCTTAATTTTTTTTCCAATTACAGTTAACATACAATGTTATATTCATTTCAGCTGTACAACCCAGCAACTAGACACTTATATAATTTATGAAGTCATCACCCTGATAAATCTAGTACACATGTGACACCATACATAGTTCAGGTAAATACATCTGTGCTGCCCGTATGGGACATGTGACATAAAGTAGCCCTTGTAAGGGACTGCAGCATTAACCTCACCCTGGACCTTCAGAGCATATGCTCATGAGGCTTCCATGTGGGTCATATGCGCTGAGTGTATGTTTCCTCTGAATGCACACCTCATCTGTACGCACTTGGCCAGTCTCTCTCCTAATGAGCAGTGTCACAGGCCTTTGAGCCTGGTATCAGCTGCTCAGTGGATGATTCTGTACCTCTCTGAGGACTCCCAGGCTGCTCCAGAGCTCCCCAAGGTGAACTCCTTACGTGCTAGAAATGTTTCTAGTCAAACTGTCCCAAATTTGGTGACAGTTCTTCAAGTCATTTTCTCATATTTTAACAGATGGGGGTGTGGAGTTTGGTGGGAAATAGAAACTAAAAATCAGGGAAATCTATAAAATTACTGTCAGAGCCAACGCTAGGTCTCAGATTTTATGATACTCTTCTTTTTCAATATAATTTCCATGAGTCTGTTTCTGAATGGCTGGTGACTGTAGCATTTTTGGAATGAGACTCAATGGCACAGAGGATAAGAATTAGCTCAATAAACTGCTGTAGTACAGGTTCCTAGGAGAATGCATGTCTTTGGGCCTTGGGAACTGAATATGAGTAGTTGAAATGAATTGGGTGGCAATCAATGGATTGGCTTTGCCTTAGCATGTAATACAGTAATTGAATAGAAGACAGTTAAGCCTCCTGTGTTTGATGGACATAATATAATAGCTCACTGTTTTAATTTGCATTTTCCTAATTAAAGTGAATTGAACACTTTTAAAATATATATTTTATTGATTTTTTTTTTTAAAGGAGAGGTAGAGTTAGAAACATTAATGAGATAGAAACATCGATCAACTGCCTCCTGCACACCCCCTACTGGTACATGCCCTTGACCTGGATTGAACATAGGGCCTTTCAGTCTGCAGGCCAATGCTCTATCCACTGAGCCAAACCAGTTAGGGCTGAACACTTTTCTACATGTTTATTGGCTATTCAGATTTACTGTCTGCAAAGTACCTGTAACATCCTTATTTTCCTGCTAGGTTGTTGTATATTGATCTGTAGGAGTTATTTTTGATACAATTTTAATGTTTAAAGTATTTTCTAAGTCTGATCTATAAACTTATTCTCCATAGTAAAATTTCATATGCATATTTTTCTTACAGTTCTCTACATTCTGAATTTTTAAGTTAATGTGATTTTTTTCTTTTTCTCTCTAGGTTATGAATGTGATTTTTGATGAAACTGGATTGGAAACATTTTCATGGTCTTTGTATATTTATATATATGTATTTTAAAATTTTGCATTTGACTTAAAGTGCCATGAGAAAATTTGCATATTGCAAGGTGGTCCTAGCCACCTCCTTGATTTGGGTACTCTTGGATATGTTCCTGCTGCTTTACTTCAGTGAATGCAACAAATGTGATGAAAAAAAGGAGAGAGGACTTCCTGCTGGGGATGGTGAGTGACATTTTATAATAAAACACTCATTTTGATAAGTATGTCACTGTTTTGTTTTTTGTTGTTAACAATTTGGATACTATATAATTTTAACATTTTTAGATTAATAATGATCCTTGCTTGTCTATATATGATGATCATATTTCCCAACAATTTTTGATGGTTCTTCCAGCAGTTAAAAATGTTGAAGTATTGTGCATAGGATGACTCAATAGCTATTGTGTAAACTTATACCTCTTTATTCTACTCCCATGAGAAAAATATAAATTAGTAATTTATAAGGTTTATTCAAGTACATTCAAAATTATGTCATCTGGTTTGTATACATTTTATTTTGTGTCATACAGAGGAAACCTGTAGTTTTCTTGATAATTTTTCTAAAACACAAAACTTTTCTATATTCTCATGTAAATGCAGTTGAACTGAAGTATAAAATATCTTTGTTCTCATAGTATAACACCTTAGTCACTCCCTTATCAACATTGATTTGATTTTTATAAATGATGGGCATATAAAATTGTATGCCAAGAAAATAATTTCATTTTTTAGTTCAGAAAATTGATGATATCCAAACCCCATTTTAGTTATCTTCAAACAAAAATTTCACTGAACTCACTTTAAATTTCCGTAAAAAACTGGTAAGTAGAATACGTAGAAAGTTATGTTTACCATCCTCTTCGTTGATTTTTTAATACTGCAAATGCAATCGTAGTAAAAATATTCACTAACTACATACATTTTATCCTAGCGTTTCTGCCAAAGAAAAGTAATTAGTCCATTTAATTTATCTGGTAGATTCTGTAAGTCATATAGTAGTCATGTAACTTTTGATTAATAGTAATTTTAAATGTGGCTATGAAATCTCAAGTGAACCAATAAATTAAAATATATAATGTGGACACTATAAGTATTAGATGATCAAATTTGTAAAATATTGCAATAGCTTGATTGTATATGTTGTATAGTTTTGCCTGATTCTTTACAATCACAAGGCCAGAGGTTTTTTTTTTTACTTCATAATGATGGGAAATAAAAGAAAAAAATAAACAATTTAATTTGAAATTTTAATTCCCAGATACCCATCATTTGGCTTCAACGGTTGTCAATTCAAGGCTAGGCTTGTGGCATGGATACATAGATAACTATTTCTTTTTGCTCCCTTCACCTCTTTTGGTTATTATTGAAAAAGAAATTGGGTTCTCTTTTACTTGTTTCCCACAGTCAGGATTTATATCCTTTCATATTTTTTATCATGTCCTTCTGTGCCCATTTCCTGTGAATTTGTAGTAGGTTCAGAGGCTTGATCAGATTCAAGAGCTCCCCTTCGTGCCCCGAAGAATATGTTATAGATGGGGTTCTGTATAACAATACTCCAACACTGAGCAGCATGAAAACGATCCCATTTTAACTTTTCTAGAAAGCATTATCTTAACCTAGAACAGGGCACAGGATACTTATAATCAGGGGCATTAGATGTCTCCCACTTGCTCTTGGTTGCCTAGGCCATGCCCTAACGATTATTGTTAGGTCCAGAGCTCTGCTGTGTTCTCTTGACCCCTGAACATCCCAGTCCCCAAACCTGCTGATTGCTCTTTATTTTCAGAGACAGGTAAGTAACCAGAATTGATTCTAAGAATTAATAAAAAGTAATGCCCCAGACAGGAATTTTCATCCCATCATTGTCCTCACTTCATTGTATATCCATTCCCTTTAGGTGGGAAGTTTAACACCCTTTTATTCAAATTCAATACATCCTAGAACCTATTCTTCTTGGAATGTTTTTAATAACTCAAAAGCATATGACAATAAGATTGTGGGATTGTGTATCTGAAATACTCTTTCTGTATATATTACTTCTGATAAGAATGATCTTTCATGATGCTCCACCTTACATGTGCTTATCAATTCTGGGGTTTCACTTTGACCTATTTTGAAGAGCACTTTTATTCACATATTAGTTCAGGATGCAATTATAAAACTCCTATAAGACACTGCTAAATTCCACAGAAGGCACATAAATTAATTTTAAAAACCCAGCTAAAAAGAGAGGTTATGACCTGGTGGGTTGTGATAAGGCAGGTAAAGCAATCATTGTAGTAAGAAATAGCAATTGAGCCCTCTCCCTTTTGGAAGCACACCCACACTTTTCTTCCTTCTCAAGTGCGCATCTTTACTTTTCTCTCCTAAACTCTAAGGGTCTTCATGAACCCTGTAACTGGGGGAGCAGCTGCTGTCCATATCAGGCCCTGAACCTGTCCCCAAGGCCTCCTTTTTCTGACTTTTCAGTGAGCTAAAGCAATCCCCTATTGGCTCACTTCTTTACTGTGGCGTTTCTAGAGTCAAAGCAGCCCTGCATACGTCTCTCCTGTTGCTTCTATCCTAAGCCACTCCTTGTTTCACTATCCCCAGCTTTAATAAGAAAATACTAAAAATCCTATATAATAAGGCTAATACACAAATTGACCATTCGCAATGATACACTGACTACCAGGGGGCAGACTCCAAGGCAGGAGCTGCCTCCTGGTGGTCAAGTGCGCTCCCACAGGGTGGGGCTCGCCTCTCAGCCAGAAACCAGGGTCTCTGCTGGAGAGCACTGCTGCAGTGGCGGGAGCCTCTCCTGCCTCCACAGCGCTAAAGACCCCTTGGGGGAAGTTGGACTGCTGGCTTAGGCCCACTCTCTCGGACAGACTGCATGGATGTCGTGTACTGGGCCTCTAGTAAGAAAATAAAGAAGTAGCAGTTGGTTAGAGACATAAAAACTCTTAGATGAAATTATATGGTAGCCAAGAGTAATAAATGGACAGATTCAGAAAAGCTAGAGAAGCCACTTTAGCTGGGCCTTGAAAGATAAGGTTTTGCAGAGATAGGGTGGGAGGGAGATGCCAATGGAGGAGGAGCTGTGTGAGCAAAAGGACCAAAGCAAGAAAACATGAGGCTATTGGGGGGGAGGGGGGGTTGGGAAATGGGGGGAGTAGTGAATTGTTTTTGACTGAGGATGAAGTACTGGGGAGGGGGCGTGGAGAGCCTAGCAAATGGTTGGTTTGGCAGGTTAGGTTAAATTTCATATAGAAAAGATTGGACTTTTAAAGAACATGAGAATAGTGAAGCCTATGCTTTTAGGGAGGTTATTGTGGTAATATTTGAAAGGGTGCCACGGCAATGCAGTGATGCAGGTGAGAAAGTATTAAGCATAACTCTGGCATGAAATGGAGGACAGGGCAGCTCCCAGGAGGTGTTGCAGGCTTGGAGACCTGAGCTCAGAAATGGCTCTCGTTGAGGGCACTGTTTAAACTCAAGTGTTATTAAAAAGAAGTATGAATTGATTGTTCTAAAATTGTTAAGTTTCCTCCTCATTCTTAGTTTTAGAGCCAGTACAAAAGCCTCATGAAGGTCCGGGAGAAATGGGGAAACCAGTCGTCATTCCTAAAGAGGATCAAGAAAAGATGAAAGAGATGTTTAAAATCAATCAGTTCAACTTAATGGCAAGCGAGATGATTGCACTCAACAGATCTTTACCTGATGTTAGGCTAGAAGGGTGAGTATCCAGGATGGTCCTGATAGTGTTTAATTTGAATGAAAAGTATATTTTAATTCCTAATCAGTTGCACATTAGTGTTCACTGCTCCTGGAGTGAATGCTATATCACTAACTTACTACTTGCTCCACTTAAAAATAAACGCTGATAAAATAATACCACAAGTTACTAGCAATCATTAGGATCATGTATTTTAGGCTTTGGAAAATAATTGTTTATCTTAAGAGGTTAAGGTGGTAGGAGGTTTTAGCCTTCATTATTACCAAAACAGTCATAGTATCAACTTTCTAAAAAAGATTGTTAAGTTTTCTGCAATTTCAAACAGTGAATTATGCAGTTGTAAGTGTACAGATTACTGACTTTTTACGTATTGCATATACCTACCTGTCTGTCTTCCAAATCAAGATGCAGAACATTCCATCACCTGAGAGTTCTCTCATGTTCCTTTCCAGTGCTCCCACCTCGGGAGGCAGCCTTTGTCTTGGCCTTTCTAACCATAGGTGATTTTTGTCCTCTTTTGGTACTTTTTATAAATGGTTCCATACAGTATATATTCTTTAACGTCTTTGAAATCCATGTTGCTGTATATATCAGAAGCTTATTCTTTTCTATGGCAGTGTAGTGGTTTGTTAATGTGAATATACCCTAGTGTTTTTACATATTGGTAGACATTTGGGTTGCTACCACTTTTGAGTATTATTAATTAAGCTGTTGAGAACAGTGTTTAAATGGTGTGATACATAAGCGTGTGCACTGAATTTTGGGCTTGCTGAGGCCTCCTCATACTTAAAAAGATTCTGTTTCATGCAAGTTTCTAATACATAGTCCTGGCCAACCATTGGGAGCTTATGGGAGAAAAGGGAACACACAGACACTGCTACCTCTAAGGATCCCTTTTATACCTTCTTGCTCCATCTCTGTGTTTGTAGCCTCATTTTAAATATTTTATCATGGAAAATATCAAATGGGTACAAAAATAGAGATGATAGTATAATGAACCCTCATTTATTCATTACCCTGCTTCAACAATCCTAACAGTCCTCTGACAATCTCCATCTCTTGGTATTGATACCTGTGCCTACCTCTCCCGGTTGTACTAAGGTTGGTCTGTATGACCAGTAGAACACAGAACCAGTGATCAGAATTGGGGTATAAAATGCACTGTGGGTTTCAGTTTGGTCTTTTACTCTCACTTGGATCACTGGCTCTTGGGTAAGCTCACTGATATGACCCGAGCAGCAACTGGTTGTGGCCTTCTGTGATCAGCCAGGTGAGTGAGGTTAGAAGTAGATTCCCCAGTCCCAGGCCAAAGGCCTAGCACTCTAAATTTATAGGATATGTCCCTGAAAGATAGGGACTCATTGAAGAAAAAAGAAAAATCTTTTTTATAGGATATGTCCCTGAAAGATAGGGACTCATTGAAGAAAAAAGAAAAATCATGGTACCATTTTCATACCTAAAAAATATTAACAGTGATTCTTCATAACATGAAATACCCAGTTAATGTTCAAGTTTCCCTGGTCATGTCATGTATCTTTATTTTATAGTGTTTGTATCAAGATCCACATATTGCAGCTGGTGATAGGTTCTCTCTCCATCTTTTTTTTTTTTTTTTTTTTTTTTTTTTTTTTTTTTTTTACTAATGATCTATCAAATTTTTTTAGGTGGGGGAAATAGCCTTTTCTTTCCTTATTGTGGATTTGACATTTCTATAAGTTATTCTGTTAGTTTATCTTTCAAGCTGCATCATTAGATGCATTTAAGACAATTTATGGTACTGGTGTTTTTTTTAAAGATATAGTGTTTACTATATCTTTATTAACTTTCTTTCCCCCCAAAAGCCCACAGTGCATTTTATAACCTAATTCTGATCACTGGTTTTCATAGTGCTATTCCACTTTTAGTCTGTTTAATATTTTTCTGGTATGTCTATTTTTTTTTCTATTTCTTTACTTTCAGCCATCTGTATGATTTTGTTTTAGGTGTATCTCTACTAAATGGCTGAATTTTATACTTTTAATTTCCTTTAATAGTCATTGTTTATAATGGTTTGAATTTGATGAATCTACAATTATTGTAACTATTGTTATAGTTGTACTTCTTTTAAGTTGGACCATACAAAATTAATGTTCATCTTTTTTTGACCTATAAAAGTGACAGTTTCATAAAGTTCAACCTGATAAATATTGTTTTCTGTTTACCACCTTTTCACTTTCCGGTCTGCTAGTATTCGTGTTTTTCTCTCTCGTAGTTTGGAACCTAGCTTTATCTTCAGCTACATGCTCGTGCACATAGTGTACTTTTGATCTGAGCAGGCATATTATTCTTCAGTTCTAGGACAGTTCTAACAATAATCTCAGATGTTGCCGCATCACTGTTCCCTCCGGCCTATTCACCTGGGACTATGCCTATGTATATACTAGAACCTCTTCACCCATAGTTATTCTTGTCTCACTTTTTGAATTGTATCTAAATGAGTTTCTTATTAATATTTTGATAGTGGCAAGGTCTAGATCTGGCTCTGCTGTTTACTGGCTCCGTGGCTTTGAACAAGTTGCTTAACGTTTCTGTACCTTATGATCTTTATCAGTACTTTAAGAAAATAACAAGGGTTGCATGTGGATTTGCAGTACTTTGAATACTTCGTGGCACCTGCAATGTAGGCCTCCATTCAGGGAGTCAAATGCAGTTCTCAGGAGCAGCCGATTCCAAGGATGCTTTCCCATCTCTACTCTCTTTTACTAAGTGCTGTTTGACTTCTAAAGTGTATTCACGATGAAATGTTAAATGAGAAATAGATTAATACTTAACTATCCTCTGTTAAAGCTGGCCAGAGCTGGCCAGTGGGTGCTTTTCAGTCTAGTTCTCAAGTGTAGAAAGATGAAGAATGTGGGACAGCCCCTAGAGTGCAGCTCTTCACCTCTTTTCTGAATCCAGAAAAGCCTCGCTTGTTCTCAGCCTGGCCTGGCCCGGTGGTGTAGCCAGTGGTGTCCAGGTCATCCTGTGCCTGCCAAGAACCTTTACTGCTTGCAGGGTCTCCAAGGGCACATTTCCTGGAGGAAAGAATAACACTGCTCCGGTGTCAAGAAGCATTAAGTAACAATAAAAGAATACCTTTTCTAATGTGTGATTCTAGCAAATCAGGTTTAAGACAAATTCCAAGTCACTTAATAAGGCAATTTTATTCTATATTTAGTCTCAGATGTTTAAGAAGTGATATCATTTATTGAATGTTTATTATGTTGTAGGCACTATACACATGATCATATTTAAGCAGTTGAGCAAAACAGTAGTAGCATGCCCAGTTTGCAGGTGGAGAAATTCAGAGAGATTAAATGATTTGTACCAAGGATGGTTAATAAATGACACATGAGAAATCTGTCCATGACAAAACATGCATCTTAACCAGTGTGCTTTGCCTTCACTCTTTGGATTAGATCTTGCCTGAATGAGCATACACAGAGGAGAAATTATGTAACATTGCAAAACACTGTCAGGCAGATAACCAGACATCTTAAGAAACATAGACTTGGCTGTGGTGAGTGGTAGTGACAGGCTAAATGTAGTGGATGACAAAGAACACCTTGAAAATCTTAGCTCAAAGGGACATGGAGTAGAGGATGGATTACATGTGCATATTCACTTCGCTAAGCCTGTTTCCTCATCTGTAATATTGGCATAATACCTCTGTCTTATGTGTTATGGTAAGGATAAAGTAGCATGATGCATGTGCAACTCTTAATGCCATTTCAGGTTGTAAGAAGGTTAGGGTAAACAGAGTGGGACTTGAACAGTTGAAAAATAATAGAAAAAAGTAATTATCAAGGGACTTCTGTTGTTCTACATTCCTAAATTATTAAGGTATTTACATGAATTCTCTGGTAAGCCCAGTCTTGCTGAGATGAACACTATCCTAAGCAAACTTAATCTCTTTATTCCCTAAATCACTCCGGCAGGCACTCAACCTAACCCTCAGACCATATAGTGAATTTCCTGCATTCGAGTTTACTCAGTAATCCTTTCATTCACATATAACGAGTGTGCTCATTGTGTAGGCCACCTTTTGATCAGTGTTGTACATAGGGGCCATAAATGAAACCACTTGTGTTTTGACTCATTCTTTAAAAAAACAGGGATTTTCGGTCAACTCCAACTTCACTCCGGTATTTAATTCACTCCCATTAATAGCATCAGCTCACTATGGTAGTGATTCTGTGTGCATATATATTTGAGTGTGTTTGGCTTTCCGATGATTGCATTTCTAGACATTGCCTTTATTAAACAAGATGCATGCCGATATTTCAGTATTGAGGCAGCATTATGAGCTTGGCCAGTAGAGCATGGACTGTGGAGTCCTCAGCCAGATCCTGCTGTTCCCTGGCTATGTCTGTCTACTGGCTGTGAAATGTAGCTCCTAGTACCTCACAGATTTATTAGGAAGCCTAATGCCTAGTATAGCATAGATACTCAGTGAATATTAGTTCTCTCCTTTGTGGAAGGTATATAATTGTGGGGATTATTAAATTGTGTAGATCCTAGTGGTTCTGTTTGTTTTGTTTTGGTCCAATTGGATTCTTGAGATAATTCAGTTTGGGATGATAACACAGACTTAAGTACATTCTCCGTTAAACTGAATCAACAGAATACATTCATCAGGAAGAGGTGCCTAATTGTAAAAATACAGTTGCCCTCTTTAAAATAATTTTAATTTTAATTTAAACATATAACTTTAAATAGGTACTATTCATTAAACATGCAACACTAACCAAAACTTAAATAAATGGGAAGTTACCAGGAGTCCCACCACTAGAGCACACTGTTTTTATTGTTCTACTGCCCGTTCTAGTCTAGATTCATTCATTGTGCTATCGTAATAGTCACTTTCTATAAAGGCATTTGCTTTGTCTCTAGGTGTAAAACAAAGGTGTATCCAGATAATCTTCCTACAACAAGTGTGGTGATTGTTTTCCACAATGAGGCCTGGAGCACACTTCTGCGAACTGTCCATAGTGTCATAAATCGCTCACCAAGACACATGCTAGAAGAAATTGTTCTAGTAGATGATGCCAGTGAAAGAGGTAAATTTTAAATTGTGACACCAATAATATCCTACACCGTTTGTCATTAATGATTAAAAAACTAGTTGCTATCATTTTCAATCCAGAAACTATACAAACTTCTAATTTATCCTAAAAATATTTGTGGCATTTGGACTTATTCACATATGCAAAAAGAATTACCACTGTGAAACCTTAAACATTAATTAACTTTTACTTTGTGTCTCCTCTTAATCTTGTTTTAAAAAAAAGAAATAATGCTATATAATACAGACATTTATGCAGAATAGTGACTAAATCCACATAACTTTAGGATTTTTGCTGTGAGAAGCTGCAGCCCCGGGTCATTGAGAGAAACTGGGTCTTAGAACCATGACTGGGGACCATCAGTTCTGTGTCCAGTGGGAAGTATCCCTGGTGGCAAAATGAAGCCCTAGCAGTGAGCCTTAGTTCCCCAAATCCTGCTTAGGTTTTCCCATTTCACTCCATTTCCAAGTTCAGGAATGGCCTATAGCGAGGTGTCAAAAAAGGATGAGGAAGGAGCCTGAGAAAAAGTGATATATGACTCGGATCTCATAATAAGGCTATATTCTCCCAAGAATCTCAGAATTTTCCACAACCTTAGAATCCCTCAAACTGTAGTACCCTTTTTGGAAAGGTGTGTTAATTAAAAGTACGTTGGCCTAACATTATTTATTCTGCATCCTTCTTAGAAATTTCACACTATTAGCTAATGTAGGAAAGGCTTGGCTTAGTCCATCATTAAAACAACCTATTAGGTTCAGAATTATCTGGCTTTTCCCAGACTCCCTCCTACAGTCCCCACCCCCACACACATCTATTTGGAATCATTGTTGTCATGTATTCCCCCAATATCCCTAAACTCACATGAGAAAAACTTGGAAGGAACTACCAAAAATGGCTTCCCTTCATTCTTTGATTAGCCTTAAACTTCATGACCTATCACTTCTACTCTCTTGCCTAATCTTTCATTGCATCTGCTAAGATAGTTTAGTCACATTTTATACCTTCTCCTTCCTGTGCTCACACTAAATATGTATATATAACCATGATTAAATTTAATCATTTCATATCCTATTTATTGGGAGCAATTTGCCCATTAATCATAATTTAAAGCTTATTAGTTTGCTAGATTATAGTGGTATAAAGAAAGAATAAGTTATAGTCCTACCTTCTCACATACCTTATAGTTTAGCTAATCCAGTTAAGGAGACAGTTTATAATCATGCAATAATAGTATAATATATAATGTGATTAATGTAAAAATGAATGAGAGCTGTTATAAATTAAGAATACATTTGAAACAATTATTGACAAAGTATAAATTTCAGGTGGATAATTGTTTGCTAGGAGTTAACCCTTTAAGAAAATTACCTGAAGTTTATTTAAGCAGTGATCTACACAAAGATCTTTACTGCCAGTGACTTGTATTTGGTTTACTCATATGTTGATATTTGCTAAATTAAATATTCCTCAAGGAGAGATATTTTTCTTCTGATAAAATTACTTACTTCCCCATTTTCTCTGTTGGTTTCTCTGTTACTCTCTTGGGTGCCTGAGAAGGCTGTGCAGAATAGTAAGTTTCTGTAGGATATGACCTAATTAGGAAGATATGCCCACAAGTCTATAAAGTGACAAAGAAAGTTACATATATCAGTTATTGTTTCCCCTTCCTCATCTGTAGGAGAAAACGGGAGAGGGGGCTTTTCCTCACTGCTCCACCTGAGCTCTTAGTCACTTAACGGGGTCCCTAACTGTTACCAGTGCCTTCAGCAGGGATCTGCTTCTCCTTTGTCATCCTGCCTAGAAAGCTCAGCTTAGGTCACCATTTCTGATATTTGGGAACTGCTAGGCATTGTGTTTTTGTGGTTATAAGTGTGGTCTTACTGTTCAGATTGAGAATTATCTAATAATAGAAATCTGGTGCATGAAATTCATGCAGTCGGAGTGGAAGGGAAAGCGGGGAGAGGGCGAAAACCAGGCCGTGGGACCCCACTGGTGCATGATCAGGGCCAGGGAGGGATCGCAGAAGGGCTCTAGGGCATGTCCGGCCTGTCTTGCTCAGTCCCGATGGCACTAACCTACCAGTCAGAGCATCTGCCCCCTGGTGATTAGTGCATGTTGCATGTCATAGCTAGCTAACCTACCAGAGCATCTGCCCCCTGGTGGTTAGTGCATGTTGCATGTCATAGTGAGCAGTTGAGCAGTCTTAGCATATCATTAGCATATTACACTTTGATTGGTTGGCTGGGAGACCAAATACTTAGCATATTAGGCTTTTATTATATAAGATAACTTCCTTTGGCTCTCTTGTTTAGGTGGTAACTATTGGGCCCAGGAACCCCAGAACAAGTTCTTTATTTTTAAGTAACTCTCTAAGTCTGCTTTTTCCTCTTCATAAGGCACATCCAAGCACCGTCATTTCTCACCTGGATTGGTGACATAGACTAGTCTGCTTACATACACTCATACCCCCACCCCCATCTGCTCCCCATGCTGTGCTGCATGCAGAGCGAGCCTTCAGACATGCATATCTGATCATGCCACTTCTCTAATGAGAATCTTTCCTCAAAGGCCTTTATGGCTGACTTTTTCCTACATCTTCAGTCATATCTTAACCATTCCCTATCCACCCATCCCTACAACACAGCTCCGATGTTTACTCAGAATCAAGTTATTTTTAGAGAGGCTTTGACCTCCCAAGATCAGGTTCTATTCTGAACATGTGTTGGAAGACTGTCCTCCCCCACAACTCTCACCAGAGATTTGTTTACTTGTCTCCTGGCCTCCAATTAGACTCTACACTCCAGATCTGTTTGTGCACCATGCTCTCCTCAGTGCCCACAGTGCCTATTACTTAGTGCACAGATTTACTTAATGAATGAATGAGTAATCTACCAATCCATTAATCCTTGCTTTTATGGCCTGTCTGTACAAGCTTCCTATCGTGTAGCATGCAGTGTCTGTTCGTAGCCTCAGGACACTTGATTTCATAGCTAACCTGCTGAGTTGACAGTAACTCCATTTATTAAATAAGTATGAAGTAGACTATCATTATTTCTATTTTATTGATGAGGAAAATGAGGCTTAGCTTTATAAACCAAGGGCTTGACCTCTGAACTGCTCCTACATCACATCTGTTATAACTTTACTGTTACAGGGCCTCTAGTAAAGACAGTCTAGATGAATCTCTAGTTCATGTCAGAAGTTAGTGTAATTGTCTTAACTTCAGGTTATCTTAAGACTTAGAACTGATAGAATGGTCCTCATCCAAGATGACTATTGTGTTTTTCTCATTTTACACAAAAGGAAAGGAGTTTCTTACTTAGTAGGGATTAGGAGTCAGATTTATTAGACTTTAAATTCCTTGCTCTTTCTAAAGTTCTGGCTAAGCTTTCTCAGATTTTGCCACTCCCATTCTTTGACAATCTCACACTCCCTGGTGGAGAGATGCCTAGGCATCCATTTGTAGGCTAACAGCTATAAAGATATTCTAATCAACACGATTCTCTTATTTTTATGACAATAGTAGCTTCTAATCACAATCACCTAATATGCCCCCTTCCCACTTTATCCCCTGTGTTCATTTTTGTAAAATGAGACTTGAATAGTTACTAGTCCCTCACCCTGAGTCCATAACTCAATGTCCACTGTTAGGAAGACACCTATTTCTTAACATCATTGCCACAAATGTGTCAAACTATGATGTCAAGAAAATTTGTGGAATAGTAACTTTTTTGAGCTGCCAAAGAGAGCATTCATTTTTCATTTTATTTATAGACAGGAGAGAATATTATAGCCTTCAACATGTCAGATTCTGAAATTAGATTGCAGCACTTTAAACTGTCTGATATTTGGGGGGAACTTATTGGGAGACACACTTGATCACACACCCAATGGTGGCTGGTGAAAGTACTGGAACAGAGCTCACACCCTTCCACAGGAGAGTCTGTCAGACTCTGCACATACAGTAATCCAAATGTGTGTCCGATCAGTAATCCAAGTGCACAGTCCTGAGTTGTTCTCTCTGCAGCTTCCTGCGGGGATTTCTTGCTATGGATGAAGAGATGGGCTTCAAAGTCAGGCAGACATGGCTTTGAATCTTGAATTAAGTAACCTCTTGACAAGCTGTGTCACCTTGATCCATTCATTTAATATTCTGAGTCTTAGATTTTCATATCTAAAATTTGTGACAATCTCTGGGATTAGCACTACCTTCACGTTTTTACTCAAAGTATATCTTTTTTACCATAAGATTCGATTCATAAAATCACAGAAGTGATCAGATAGGAATTCTGTTCCAAATATTTTTCAGATACTCTTTTTAGCCCAAATATATCAGGAAATAAATTAGCAGCAATGGAAATGATGGCTCGTCTGGTGCAGTGGAGCACATCCCTGATTATTTCCATATTGAGTCATTGTGGTCTTCTTACTAAACAGATAAGATCGTTTCACTCCTATTTGCCTTTTTCTCTCCATTACGTAGGAATTCCTTTGGATCCCCACTTAGATATTTAGAGACCTCCTTAATAGATACTCCTGATTGACATGTCACCTTTTCATTATTAGAGTCCTATGGGACAAAGCTAGTCATCTGAGTTTCAGCTCAGGGTTTTCCTTTCCTAGAGAGGTTATCCTCACACCTATTGTTGGAAGGACATTGGGCCATTCCGCCATCAATAGCTTCTCTGGCATGAATACCATGAAATAACCTGATAGGAAAAATTATCTTTGCTTTCTAAAGTCAATTATGTATTTTGGAGGCAGGACATCCTTAGCTCAGAGTCATAACTCTGCATGGCTCTAGGATAGCTATTAATTTCATATACCACTTCTTCTCCCTGTCTCTCTTCCTCTTTTTTCTCCTATTTGCCCTTTTCTCTCAAAACTGCTTCTACTGATGCCTATTTGTCTGTTAAGGATCTCTGTGTGGTCCTATAATTACAATCCACCATTTCCCTTCTGAGCTTAACTTCATTATCTCCTGATGAAAGAACTAATAAAAGACTGTAATAATCAATATGACAATTAGTTTCTACCTTGGAAAAATTCCCAAAATTTTCTGAACTCTAACAGCTATTGCATATGCTGTTCTTGTTCTCTATTGCAATCTGGATGCAATGCCCTCAAACTATATTCTTTCTATTCCTGATCCTTAAGCACAACTAGAAAAAGTAGCAGTGAGCCTGACGAAGAACTGCTTAGAGAAATGTGCTAATGTGCCTATCTTGATCCTGAATTCCAAGGCTCCTTCCTGATTCCTGTGTAATAGGGAGAGGCAGCCTTTTATCTCCTGGTACTTTCTCTCATGAGATAAAAGGTTAGGTCCCCTATAGCAAAGCGGCTTTGTGAGTCAGGGAGCCTCACCGCAGTGCTGAGGAAATATGTGTTGAATGAATATTGCAGTTCAAAATTGCTTTACATCTAGATAATGCCAGTTCAGTGTTTCATGTTATTTTTGCTTTAATTTTTCAGACTTTTTGAAAAGACCTCTGGAGAGTTACGTGAAAAAATTAAAAGTACCAGTTCATGTAATTCGAATGGAACAACGTTCTGGATTGATTAGAGCCAGGTTAAAAGGAGCTGCTGTGTCCAAAGGCCAAGTGATCACATTCTTAGATGCTCACTGTGAGTGCACAGTGGGGTGGCTGGAGCCTCTCTTAGCCAGGATCAAACAGGACAGGTAATTTTCTGGAGTCTGTGAACGTGTTTTTAGTGTGTTTGTCCTAAGCTACACGGTAAGTTGCAAAATTCTGTTACTTGTGAATAATACAAAAACAGTGTCCTCTGAAGGTTCCTTTAAGATACCCTTGAAGAGCACTCTAAACTAATTATGAAGACCACATTCTAAGGTCTGGATGGAATGTTTGCAAACTGTCGTTAATGAGGCTGGATTAGGAAGCATGCTGTTAAGATGTACACTGTGTACATACTCTGTTCACTGAACAGGAGCAGAAGAAATGGGCAGTGAAGCCAGGAAGAGTAGGGTAAAACCCTCTGCTTGGCTCTACTCTGTGAAGCCAACACTGGGGCAGGCAGGATGTCCTATCTCGGTTCAAGCATGTTAAATGAGGCATGCAACCCACTGGCCTCGAGTTTGACATATTTGGTGTACATCTTTCCTGGAAATATAAGACAGCAAGAAGTAGAGGGGGGTGGGGAGACACATGTTACATCCTGAAATGCTTAACTGCATGTTGAAAAGCACTATAATCTTAGATAATACAGGAGCAGCATTGGGCACTGTGGATGCCCCTGATTGTCTTCTTTCTTTTTTTAATCAATATTTTATTGAGTTTTTTATATAGAGGAAGGGAGAGAGATAGTTAGAAACATTGATGAGCAAGAAACATGGATCAGCTGCCTCCTGCACACCTCCTGCTGGGGATGTGCCCACAATCAAGGTACGTGCCCTTGACCAGAATTGAACTTGGGACCTTTCAGTCCATAGGCCGACGCTCTATCCATTGAGCCAAACCGGTTAGGGCTGATTGTCTTCTTTCTTAATGGACATTTGTTAAAGAATATCTACTATTGGGCTCTGGCTTGGTTCTTGTGTATCAGGAGAGCACCTGACTCTTCAGTCTGCTATTAGTTGAATTTCTGCTTGCCATTGCAATTTGAGCTAGAACCTATGTGTCAACCTAACATTGAGATTTAGATTTTGGCAGGCTAAACTTTTATTGGTCACTTGGAGGATAGGGCATGTCAGCCATTACATCTATTTTGTTTGTTAGCAATTGCTGGACCTCAATCTCTACCCATTCAAAGATGAACAGGAAGCACCTACATTGGCGATGAGGAGATACAGCAGCTTTAGGAAGTAATAGGTGACTGGCTTAGGAAATATTTGCTTGTAAAGAGAACACATAGCCTTAATGACGCAGGAGCCAGGACCCGTGACCCGTGGAGAGAAGCACCGTGAAGTGACAACAGAAATAAGGAAGAGGATTAGCTGAAGTCATCACAGCAGCGTCCAGTTCAGGCTGTAGTAGATTAGGCATCCCAAGTACTTTTCCGAGCTGGAAAGCATTATGCTGGATAAAATACAAAAATCAGTTTTAAATGCATCACTGACGTGGCAGCAAAGTAAGAATTTTGCAGGTCTCAAAACAGAGTGAGAACAAGTGAGAAGTTCAAACACAAAAGCCAGCTTCCACTTGTACGGTTTCCGCTGAACTTGGGGACACTGAGCCTCTGCCTTGAAAGACAGAGACAGGAGGACAGGAGACAAAGCTGGGCCCTGCCTGAGGGGGAAGGTGAAGAGCAAACACCTGTCTAGAGCTAGGACCCTGCCATCTGTACCTCAGTGTAAGTGAGGAGGGGAAATAAATCCCACCACCCCAGAGAAAATGGGCCTGCTTCAACCTTGGCATGGGTGGCACAGGGGGAACAAATCTCTCCTAAGAATTTATACACAGAATATGGAAAAATAGAGGACCAGCTCAACTCGTTTTATGAAACTAGTATAACCTTAACAGGAAAACCAGAAAAGATACATGTTGAAAATTATTCAAACCTATCCATGAATGCTAGCCAAAAATATCACAGTACCAGCAAACTGAGTCCAACTGAGAGGGAGATGATTATATATATGTATTAATATGTGTAATATTTTATATAGACACATAAATGTATCATAGCATGACCAATTCTCTTAGTTTAGTATAAAGCCAATTTAATATACCCCATTAACACATTTCTGAAACTATGATTAAAACTCTGGGACCACTTCAGCAGGTACAGAAGAAGGGTCCACTTATAATTAAAATTACTTAGCAAACTGTTATAGAATGGAAATTAATCTAAGAAAGGACAACTTAAAAACAACAAAACCTTAGCAAGCAGACATCATGTTAATAGAGAAACGTTGAAAGTATTTTTTAAAAGATGTGGAACAAGATAAGGATGCCGTGAATTCTGTTCCTCAGGATTATTAAGAAGCTGTGGTTTTTACAGCAATACGAGAAGTAAGTAAATGGTGTCAGGGTTGGCAAAGAAAAAAATTGGTGCTCTCAATTGTAGAGGATTTGTTTTTTGTTTTTTTTTTCTGTAAAGAAAAATAATTTTGCTGCATAACTAACTGGCTATGAGGCAGTTTTGCCATAAAAAAGATTAAATAACTGGTTGACAGGTTGGAGTATTTTTGTTTGATTTCATTTCTCCATTGACAAGTCAATTAACTGTAGTAAAAATGATAACTGCTTATCAGGTTTGGTTGGTTGGTGTCATTATTGACAAAGTTCTTGCAATAACTCCCATTTTTATGTAAATTTTAGCTAGCCCTCACATGTCTATACAGTGACTAGAATACGTGGTGGTCTTAAAATAGCATTTCTCCTGGGAGCAAGTGTGGGCTAGAAGGGATCAGTGGGAGGAAAGGGGACATCTATAATACTTTCAACAATAAAGATTAAAAAATAGTTAACATTTCTTTCAGGTGACAGTGATTTGCCCTAAGAGTTGGTTTCTTATTTTCAAGCACAGCAGTAATTGATGGCATTCTTATACAAATCTGGCTCATGTGAGAATGTTTGTTAACACAAATCTAGTGCACACTGCAGCAGGAGAGAGAGGCCGAGGGCCCTCTTTGAGGTCGCAGGGTTGAACCCACATTTCCCACAGGTCAAATCCACAACGTAAAACCAGTTATTTGCACACTATTGCCATGAATCTACATACATTTTAAACAAAATGGTTTAATTTTTTAACCCATTCTTTCATGTTTATGTCTTATGTTTTAACGTCTCTTGCTTGTAATTTTATTTTTATGGCCAGTTCATTGTGTATTGAAAATGCCCGAGGTAATGTTTTTAGCAATGCTTACAGCAAAAATACTAGACGGTGGTGGTTTGGTGGCAAATAATGTAGAAGTATGAATGGAAAAGGGATGGAAGGTTATAAAAAAGTTATAGTCTTGATGCTAGCTTGGTAAGATATAGCAGGTGTCCCCTTTTCTTCCCCATTGACCCCCTCCGCCCCACTCTCACCTCCTCCCCAGGCCTGCACTGCACTACTGTCTCTGTCCATATATGCATGTAAGTTCTTTGGTTAACCTCTTCATCCCACCCCGTTCCCTCTGAAATGTGCTTATTTTAAAAACACTTAGTGTACTATTGTTATAGTAGGCCTCAAAAAGAAGTTTTGAAAGATTTTTAAATTTGCCTTTCTGATTTCAGGAAAACAGTTGTGTGTCCCATCATCGACGTGATCAGTGATGATACTTTTGAGTACATGGCGGGTTCTGATATGACCTATGGGGGATTCAATTGGAAGCTCAATTTTCGCTGGTACCCTGTTCCCCAGAGAGAAATGGACAGAAGGAAAGGTGACCGGACTCTTCCTGTCAGGTAGTTAATTTGTCAAACCTTTTCCCTAGAGTGTTATTGGCAGGAGATTGTGAAGCTTTGGGAATCATAAGGACTATAAGTGTATTTTGGGACACATGAAACATATGGGTACCTTATAGGTATTTTTTTTTTTTTGTATAAGCAAAAAATAAAATTAGAATTTTTGGCTTATACAAATCTAGTGCACACAAGAAATGGTGACGTGCATATGTTCTTTCTTTCCTATATGAACATCATTTTGCAAATCTATAAGTCAGAATTTATGCTTTAATTCATATTGATCTTAAACTACCCCTTAATTATAAGTGTTAATATGTGAAAATATTACTTAAAACTGGGTCCTTGTACCAAAATATAAGATTTTAAATTCATCCTAGCACCATCTGGATGATACTGACTAGTAAAGTTTAGAAAGCTTGTTTTAAATATAAAAAGGACTAGAATTGACATATGTGTAAAAATGAATTTTCATTAGTGCACTTCTGAATTTTCTTTTGTTTTACATTTGGTCATATATAGACTTTTTTCCCCCCCAGAAAGGGATAATAATCGTTCTGCTATTCACACCCTTTAACCTGAGAGCCTAGTTTTTATTCCCACTCATTCTTCAGGAAGTAAAATATTCGGTGGTCGTTTAGTTAAACCTCCTTTGTTATCATGTCTCTGATTCCATATTCCCACCTGTTCTGCATTCCCACCTGTTTCGCAGAACGAGGCTCCTCTCTTGTCAAGGATATACCATACTTGGTGGTCAGGATGATGATCCCCTTAGAAAGATGTATACCTAGACTTTATTCTGAACTTCATCTTCTCTCCTTGAAGGTTCCAGTCAGGGATAGGGAAAGGGCCCCATGGTTTTCAGCCGGTTCAGTCTTACGTCTTTGCAGAATCTGTCTTCCTTTAAGCCTGGCGTGTTAGAGCTGCTCGCACAAGTTTAGTGGGTTAATAACACAGCCACTTTTAGAGTTGTACGAGCTGTAGCATAGGGGCATGCACTCTCAGGGGGAGAGGATTTTGAGAAATAGCTTCAATTTAAGGAGTTTCCAGGTGGATGCTGAGGAAGAGCCTGTGGAGTGGAGAGGAGGACTATGGCGGCCTGACCAGAGAGCAGGTCAGGTCTGAAAACCAAACAGCCCAGCAAAAAAACAGCAAGCTCCTGGGGTTGCTATGAAAGTTTCCCAAGAGTGTGAGAATAAGCATTTATTCTGTCGTCATAAACAGTTATAAAACAACTTTTTAAAATAAAAACTGATTGTAAATTTAAATTATTGCAATTAACGGTATAGTATTACGATTGAATTTCAGAACACCTACCATGGCTGGAGGCCTGTTTTCAATAGACAGAGATTACTTCCAGGAGATTGGAACATACGATGCTGGAATGGATATCTGGGGAGGAGAAAACCTAGAAATTTCCTTTAGGGTAAGTTCCCTTTGAAAAAGTAATCTATGGTTTAATTATGTTATTGCTAAATAAAAAAAATGAATCTTATGAGTTCAACCAGATTTCAGAGCCTTCAGTTCATAAAAAAGTTGGCGATACTATTAAGTGTTCATTGTAAACTATTTCAAGCAAGTAATTCAGTTATTTTAATAGTCTACCCATAAAACTTATACAAGATTCCCTATTTGTTTATAATTTCTGTTACTGATTCAAGCTAGCTCTAAAAATAGTCAACATGTTATTTAAATGACATTTATTTCTGCAAATAATCTAGTTTTAGACACAGCTAATGGTGGAAACCACACCGACTGCACTGTAATCTGAACCGCTTGCTCCTTAGTGGACCGCTTATATAAGGGGATGCTCAGACTCCGATCCTCTTGAAGATCCTAATCAGCTTTCTCACTTTATGATCCTGGGAAAAAGTGAAAGTACACACACTGAATATTTCAATTGTAAGCAGTTAATAGATTTATAATTTTTGGAAACACTGTCTTTTGAAAGGAGCAAAAGCATAATTTCATTAAATAAGCATGGGAAACCATACTTGGTCTTTTATCCCCTTTTTGTTTTTTGCTTACAAGGACAGCAGTGTGTGCTGTCACAGTCTCCCTGGATTAATCATGAGAAGTCCAGTTAGATTCCTGGGCTGTGTTGAATGGGCAGGCTGTGACACAGGTTTGGAGGAGGTGAAACAGACAGGACTCTGGCAGAATACTTGGTGGTCAGAGTCTTTTTGGCCATGAACCATATTAATAAGTACATTATTCATTATACACACACGACACACAAACATTTCATGAAACAGTATGTCCTTGTTAGCAAGTACTGGTTGCAATTCATCAAATTTGAGTTTATGATCCTTTTATGACAGAGTTAGGAAAATACTGCTCTAGACCTCAATATTGTTTCTGTATTTAGCCTTTAGCTTATCTTTTCTGAATTTAACCTTCACCTTCTGGTTTAATCAGAACCAAAATTAGAGAAAGGTTTGCTCCTGAGGAAGCGTGGTTTTAAAAAGATCATGTCACAGGGGCTCTGCTATATGCCTGTGATTCTGTGAAATTTCAAGTATGAAACTCAGCAGATGCGAACAAATTTCTTTTTCAACAAGCGGTGTTTAAAACAAGTCTTCTCTGGTGTTGTTCAGATTTGGCAATGTGGAGGCACCCTGGAGATCGTTACTTGCTCACATGTTGGACATGTGTTTCGGAAAGCGACACCTTACACGTTTCCAGGAGGCACAGGACAGATTATCAATAAAAATAACAGACGCCTCGCAGAAGTGTGGATGGATGAATTCAAGAATTTCTTCTATATAATTTCTCCAGGTTAGCATTATTTTGCATACAAGAAATACAAGACTAACTTGCTTGTCCCTGATTCTAATGCCTTCTGAGGGGAGTTAAGAAAAGGTAGAAAAAACTTTGAGCAAAGTGAAACACTTACCCACATAAGTCATTGTAAGAAATAAATGAAATCACACACAGTATAAAAAGCCCTGGCTGGGTGGCCCAGTTGGTTGGAGCATTGTCCCGTTCACAGTAAAGGTTGTGGGTTTGGTCTTTGGTCTGAGTGCATACAGGAGGCACCAATTGATAGTTTCTCTCACATCAGTGTTTCTCTCAAAATCAATAAAAGCACATTCTCCAGTGAGGATTAAAGGGGGGGGAAATGTTTAGCAGAATGCCTGATCTAATATATTATTAACAACAATAAGTTATCCAGGCCAGTATTGTAGAAATTACGTGTGTTGTAACTAACGGTGACATTTAACGTTGATGTGAAGTGCTGAGGATCTCCAGGCCAGTCCCAGCCCAGTGGTAGCATGCTTCCAGGGACTTTTCTCCAGACGGTTCTCTGATCTTCAGTTTTGTGGGAATAGCTGTTCCATGAGCTCAAAATCTGCCTGGCAGTGTTACCATTCCTTCCTCGGCATTTGGGCAAATGTCTTGATTTTTGCTTTTTCCTTAACGTAGTAAAGTTTTCTGATCCCATATAACTTACATTTGTATTATTATTAGCATGTATACCATTCTCACATTAATTTTTCTTTGGAAAACGTGTACTAATATATTTCCCCATTTTATACTTTGGGAAGTGGATCTATGGTATATCACTTGAATAGTAACACATCACCAAAATGGTGCCACTTTTCCCATTCATCTGGCTTAGATGTAAAACATAAATAGAAATATGCTATGGATAGAACATCAATAATTCAATCACTCATTTCTTTTAACAGGTGTTACGAAGGTAGATTATGGAGATATAGCATCAAGACTTGGTCTAAGACACAAACTCCAGTGCAAACCTTTCTCTTGGTACCTAGAGAATATTTATCCTGATTCGCAGATTCCACGTCACTATTTCTCTTTGGGAGAGGTAAAAAAAAAAAAAAATGTATTCTATGTGGTTATTATATTCTCACATATCAAAATCAATAGAGGTTAAACATCCAACAAGAAGTACCTTCATATTAAAATTACATGATCATAAGTGTGGGAAAATTCTTATTAGTTGACAGTCTACCTCATGACTTAAAACCTTTTTTTATCGTATTTTCTTAAATAAGAATGCTCTACCCCTAGCCTTTCATAGTTGGACTCCTGTTACAACATATCAGTGTCTTCCATAGACTTCTGATTTTAACAAACTGACCCATTTAGTTGGAACCATATACTCCTAAAGCTCATGTCCTAATGTATATTAGCCTGAATCAAAACTTGAAGAACTTTAAAGTAACATAATCAGTTATAAAGAACTGACAAGGAAACTTGCAAGACCATTGATAATTATTGTATTTTTAACACTCATTTTTTAACACTCATTTTTTTCCTTTGAGAGTTCTAAATCTCATTGTGGGTGGGGTGACGGAAGAATGTTGGTAAGCATGTTTGTTTCTGATGGCGCCTTTAGTCGTTGCTCTTAAAATCCAGCAACAACCTGAAATAATGTGCTTCTTAAAGCTTATAGTTAGCACAGTTAGTTGTGCTTTAGAGTTTGGCCTTTGTTTTTTTCATGAGTGCCATTGTATAGCGTTTGATGTGAGAGAGACGTGTGCCCTATTCCACAATATTCTTAAAGCATCCCCAGCTACCCATTCTGCCTCCCAGCCCAAACTGTGCTCTGTGGATGGGAAATCCAGGTCCTGTTCTTTAATGAGGGGTCTGGTCAAATCAAGGAGTCTGTGTCAGGAGGGGTTCCGAGGAGATTGGTAGGGACGAAGTCCCTGATGGCTTCAAGGGATTGAGGGAGAAAAGGAAGTGGAGATCATGAGTGGACAAGTCTTGGAAGAAATCTTGTTACAGAAAAAAGAGCAGAGCAATGGGTGGTAGCTGGAGGGGAATATGGGGTTCATGAAGAATTTTTGTTTATTTTTGTTATGATGAAACTAATGCAAATGACCCAAAAAAGAAAATGTGAACCTTCCTCTCTCCCAATTTTTTTTGGAGGCAACCAAATTTTTGGCGGCCTTGCTCCGGCAGGGCTGTTGTAAAAAAAAAAAAAAAAAAAAAAAAAGAAGGAAGGAAGGAAGGAGAATATGTGAATATGCTCAAATCAAGCCACTGATTGCAGGAGTTACGTGGGAATCAGATGGGAGGGATGTGCTGCAGGGGAGGGAGAAGTGGGGGCAGGGGAGAAGGCAGTTAGTTCATCCATTGGTACAGGGAAAAAGGTAGAGGGCTAGTGCCGGCCAGTTGTAGATTTGGGGGCAGGGCGGGGGAGGAAGCTGTTGGTTTGTGGTGGAAGTGTGAGGAAGTTCTAATGACTTGTTGCCTAATATAAGAGAGAAGAGGAGGTATTGGGACAGGGCTTGGAGAAAAGATGTCAATTAGAAACTTAGAATGGGGAAGCAAATAGATCCCAGAGGGAGCCGATGGTGGTGAGCTAGAATGATTTCAACCTGGTTGTGTTTTCTCCCATGTCATCCTTAGTAGTTACTGAGGCTGCTTGAGGGCTGAAAGTTCCCTAGCTCTGCCTGTGTTGTGTTTTAAGGAGCTCACCCTCAGACAAGTGGTGTGGAGTGTCTGGCCTCGATAATGAGCATCGGTTCCCTTTGCGGCGGCCTCACTCAGATTGAGAAAGGCCCAGGAAAGTGATGTGCCAGGAGAAGATTCATAGCAGTTGTTCCTGTCACTTGCCTTTAGAATAGAGAGTGAAAAAGTGTTTTTTCCCTTTGAACTGACCCAGTTTGGACAACACCTGGACATTGTTAGTTGAGCCAGAATATAGGTGTATTACAAAGAGCCACTGTCTGACCCATAGCAGGCGATTGCCAAAGCAAATTTGCCTTTTACCTGCCTCTTTCCAGCTGGCTTTCTGTATAAGGAACAGATTTAACCCTCAGTGGCCTGCTTGTTCTTCACTGAGCAGCTGGCTTACGCTTGTGTACCCTTCATGGCAAGCCACACTACGCAGTGAAAGCTGATTTCCAGGCTGGAGCGTTCTCCAGCTTGTGATCATAGCTCTGCCTGCGTGAGCTTCCTCCACTGCAGCCTGGAGCCTAGCCTTCAAGGGTCTTTTTTCAGACTCAAGGGCCAGGGAAACCTGGAATCACAGGCTTTTAGAGGAGGAAGGGAAATTGGAAAATGTAAACTTAGGCTCTGATTTCACTGAGCCCAACTCTCATAAGCTCCTGTACGACCTGGAACTGAAAAATGTGTTTCATTATGTCTAGCTGTTAATCCAGGAGATGAATATTCTAAACGACCACCACAAAAAGCAAGGAATTCAGGCCTCTGGTGGGTTAGCCAGACTCTAGACTAACTGTACCTTCTCCAGGCAGACCTGACGATCCTAAGGTTCAGTGAGCATGAGCTCCATGTCCGGCACCAATCTGAGTGCTACACAAATTTTAACTCTTTATCCTCACATTAATACTATGTGATAGAGGTGCTATTCTCCCCTTCACAGTAAGTAAATTGAGACATAAATGGTTTAAACAACAGGGCAAAGGTCACAGCCACAAAATAGAAGAGATGGGATTTGAACGCAGGCAGTCTGGCTCGTGAGCCTGTATTCTTAGCCACTGATCCCATACTCTTCCTTGCATCTAACCAATCTTTACCTTATGGATAGGATTAAAAAAGTGTCTCCAGATTGTTTTATTAGATTCTAAAAATCCTTTTACCTCTAACGTCGTCCCGGAGGAAGCTAGAGTAGAAATGAAGGAACTTAGCTCTGATTCATGCCTTTTTCCCAAGAATGAGTGCTTCCACAATAACTTTCAATCCTAAAGTGAAAAATAGTATTTTAGAGATAGCTGTGTACACCCAAGTTGCCACTTCAGAAAGAACTGAAGAGTTGCTGGATCTGTGAATAAAGAAGGGAAACGGACAGTTATTATGTCAGTTCCTACTAGGTTCATTGCGAGATCTCAGCACCCCTGAAACTGGTGAGAAAATTAGGTTTTTACAGCAACATTTCCCATTTACTGAGTAAAGAATGCTGCTGTCCCTCTGGGTGCTCGCTCAGAAAGGCAGGAGTGGGTTTTGTGGTCCAAATGTTTGGGAAATGCTGGGTTTTTTTTTATATCCTCCTATATTATCACACCCTGCCCTACCAAGAGTCACAACATGTAAAAGGCTTTGAGAAGTCTTTTAATAAAGAAACCTATTTAAACTTGTTTAACCCAGTATTTCTCAAACATGTTTGATCGCAAAAACCTTTCAGTGGCATTTGTATTCACACGTGGCCAGATACTGTTGTTCAGATCGTGGTTTGGGGCTTCACTATCTGGGAACCCCGACCTGCCGATGGTCTCGTGGCGTGTGATGATAGGGTCGGAGTGATGCCCAGGTCTGCATCCCCAAACCTACTCTTACTTCCACCCATCTGCCTCCGGACACCTGGGAAGTGCAGCTAATTCCCCATCACCACTGTTCAGATTTTGCCCTGATTCAGTTCGAAAACTTCCTGCTTCTAACAATTCCCCACCCTCCGGCAGTCTCGCAGTTAGTTGTACGAGGTGCCTGTAACTGTTTTGGTTTGGCTCGGCTCATTGGCAATTCTGGTTCTATGACTGGTGTTATTCAGTCACAAAGAAATCCTATATAAAGGAGACCATTTGTTTACAAACCTTCCCCTTTGACATAATTTAGATCTCCTAGGGCAATGATTCTCAACCTTTCTAATGCCGTGACCCTTTCATACAGTTCCTCATGTTGTGGTGACCCCCAACCATAAAATTATTTTCGTTGCTACTTCATAACTGTAATTTTGCTTCTATTATGAATCGTAAAGTAAATATCTGTTTTCCGATGGTCTTAGGCGACCCTGCTAGCCACAGGTTGAGAACTGCTGCTGTAGAGCCTAAGACCATCGGAAAACACAGATATTTACATTACATTCATAATAGTAGCAAAATTACAGTTATGAAGTAGCAACGAAAATAATTTTACGGTTGGAGGTCACCACAACATGAGGAGCTGTATGAAAGGGTGGCGGCATTAGAAAGGTTGCAAACCACCGCCCTAGGATGTCTGCTAACTCCAGGGGGTGCTGACCACACTTGGGCCTTCCATGTGTCTCCACAGGGGGCCCAGGCTGTGGTAACAACTTCCTAGCTGGCTTGTGCACCATTTCTCTCACTGACAAGTAGCCCTCACAAAAGGTGGGAGACTTTTTCCTGTGTGTCAGCATATAGTCCTGCACGGCCAGTGTTGTAGCCAGTAGCCACATGTGACTATTTAAATTAAATTCGAATTCAATGCCTCAGTCACACTAGGCACCTGTGGCTGGTGGCTACCATATTGGACGTCACAGATACAAAACATTTCCATCAGCATAGAAAGTTCTCTAGACAAAGATGGGGACAATTACAGGAGGCTGTTCATCGATCTTGCCATCATTCCACAAATTTCTCCCTGCCCAGGTCCTAAAGTTGAGGTGTTCATATTTGCTTGTCAAAACCCAGCAAATTAAAAATTCATAACTGCTGTATATCTTCCATAATCATCTTTATTCTCAAGTGATTTAGAATATGTAATCCAAAACAACTTGCTTAGGAATGTATTAGATCAAATTCCCAACCATCCTGTTAGTAGTTGTTCTCCTTAATGGAGCAGAAAATATCAGGATCACATTTATATTCGGAGTATCTTCCTTTCCTAGAGCATATTGGTCTTTTAGTTGGAGGTGACTTAATAATTTAGGATCTCAGTTGGCATTGGAAATCATGATAATCTTCAAGTACTGTGTTACCAAACAAGGGGACTTCTCTAGTTTCTCTTTCCAAGATAGTCACCAAGGTATCACAAGGTATCACTTGGAATAAGAATAAACTAGAAGAAATTCATAGTGTAATAAGCTTTTTTTGTGGAGCTATACTGGATATACCAAAGATAGGACAGAGTCCTTTAAGTGTGGAAGAACCCAGAAGCTAGCCCCTCTTTTCTTTAGATTACACTTCAAAATACTCACTTGTCAGAAGGTTCTCACTTTTTATTCTAGTTTTTGTCCTCTTTTTTTTTTTTTTAATCCAACAAAGGCGACATTTTGACTAGAATATCCTTATAATTAACCACTCATAAATTCTTTGCTGTAATTTCTCTTCTTCTTGATAACATGCCTGTACATTTTATGTCATTCTTTATTTTCCAAGTATCAGCATTATACTTGGAAAAATCCTTTCTTATATGAACTGAGTTTGAGATAGAAGGAATAGCAGATATTACTATTTCTGAGCTAGACTCTCAATAGATAACGTGGATGCATAGTGTTACCTAACCCAGCACAGAGCCAGTTACCTCCCAGGTATTGTTAGGAAATTGATCTCAAAGGTTTGGGTCATCTGGATTGAAGCCCAGGTCTCACATCCAAATCCCAGTTCCTATTTCTGACAGCCGTGAATAATAGTTTTCACATCTATGTTGTGGCATCTTTATAATAATACATAAAAGCTTGTTAGTGTCTTATAAGACATTGGAGTATGTAGACTATACATTTATTTTAAAAAATGGCTTGTGATTTTAACTTTATCCCCACACAAAACTAGTTACATTTTTTTCTGTCTACATGACATGATAGGTGTGGTTTGTCATATATCTCCCTTTGGCCTACCTGCTAACATCCATGGGAATAGATTTAGGACTTTCAAATGTCTATTAGTTTACAATATGCTTTTAACCTGCAATGATTCAGATGAAATAAGCATATTAAGGGGCATAAATATTCTTAAAATATTCTTCCTGATTTTGATAACTGATTTAAATTCCTTTTATGTACAGGATGGTTTTCTAACGAGAGTGGTGTTTGCACCATACCATGATTAGACTCCCAGTTAAGCCAAGCTCCAAACTCTGATTAGAAAGTATCCACCTTATCCGGGACCGGTTTGGCTCAATGGATAGAGTGTTGGCTTGGGGACTGAAGGGCCCCGGGTTCGATTCTGGTCAAGGCATGTACCTTGGTTGTGGGCATATCCCGAGTAGGGGGTGTGCAAGAGGCAGCTGATCGATGACTCTCTCCCTTCCTCTCTACAAAAATCAATAAAATATATTAAAAAAAAAAAAAAAGTATCCACCTTGAAGATTCTAAGAGATCACTAGAGTAGTCATCAAAATTAATGTCCCGTGCTTAACGGTGTCCACAGGAAGTCGTTAAATTGCTTTAAGTTATTAGGCAAAATAGAATTTATTGACTAAATACAAATCCTAGAAGAACAGCTTGGGAGGGGGAAATAAGAATTTCAAGGATTTCTTCCTGAAACACAAACGTATCAAAATAAGATCTTTCTAGAACCCAGAATTTTAGATAGTGAATTCTGCTGCTTCACCCCTCAAACTCATAGCCCTTACCTTGCCATGCATCTGAGGTCAGTTTATAGTAAAGTTTAGATTGATTTTAATGTGTGTCTGGTTAGCCCCTTTCACTTCTGATGTTTGTGTTATCCTTTGTCCCATAGATACGCAATGTGGAAACAAATCAGTGTCTCGATAACATGGCTAGAAAAGAGAATGAAAAAGTTGGAATCTTTAACTGTCATGGTATGGGAGGTAATCAGGTGAGTATTTTAGTAAAGCTTTAAAAGGGATAATTTTCAGATTTTTCTGTTCATTTAATCTCATGATGTCATTCAGGAAATATTTTCCTTCCTTTAAAGAGAAAATAATAAAGACCTTTAGGAGAAGGGAGCCTTCAATCTAATGATTATTTTTAGGTGAAACATTTGAAAAGATTCCTTGTGAGAACTGTATTTACATTGCTGTGCATGAGTTTATTTTTCCCTTTTTCGCAAACAGATGACAGTCCGTGACAATACATTCAGTGTGTACATAGAAATTTTTCTTTCCTCTGGGTAAAGTTAGTGGTAGCTTTTCTGAGTCACTTATTCTCTATTACATTAATAAAGTTCAAAGTTGTGTTTCTTGAATTATTTGTTTTTTCCCTTCCAGATTATTGGGTGTATAAAACTCTGACTGGCTTTACTGTGACAGCTTACACGTGGGCATGCTTGTTTTTCAGGTTTTCTCTTACACTGCCAACAAAGAAATTAGGACGGATGACCTTTGCTTGGATGTCTCCAAACTCAACGGCCCAGTCACAATGCTCAAATGCCACCACCTAAAAGGCAACCAACTTTGGGAGTATGATCCCCTGGTGAGTTGTACATGAATAAGATAAAATATATAAAATTATGTGTGCTGTTGGGTATATTTATAGACTTTATTGCTAAAAAATGAACTCTTGGGGAATTTGAATATAGGTCAAATTGCCCATATACTCTAAAAATTGACAGGTGGGAAAAACAATATGCATAAAATAAGCATGTTTTAACCTCCCTGATAATGAAACTGGCCTTGCCTGGTCTTGTCATTAAGTACTCCCCTCCCTCTGTATGCCCTTAAGCTCACAGGCTTGCATGGGGGGATGGAGCGGTAAGTAGGCTTGGTAAGGTGAGCCCCAGTTAATGAATCTCGCTGGCTCACAAGGACAGTTCAGTGACAATCCCCCTCCCCTAACCCTCCTCACTCACACCTGTCTGACCAACCTCCCAACTTGTGGTTTTGCTCTACGGTTCTGGAAACAGCATCAAGATGTCTTCTCTGGTTCTTTTTCTGTTTACAAGCCCTGGTATCCTTCTCTCTGTAAGGAAAGACAGTTCCTACTCTACTTTCTACGCGCATTGGTCCATGGCAGGTGAATGGCCAGCGCTCGTGCCTCTGCTTCCAGCCCTGGCTCCTGCCTCCGCCTGGTTCCCGGCGAATCTGGGTGCAGAGCTCCTCGTGGCTGATGCTGAGCCGATGGTGGTTTAGAAGCCTCTTATCATGGGCTTTAGATACACTGCTGTTTAGTTTCTTCTCTTAGCTCTCCATGTTCCTTTGTCTGCTCGGCGCACTCTGCTTTTCCATGCTATCCCTTAAATGGCAATGTCCGAAGTTATGACTTTGCCCATCTTTTCCCCCTATATAGTGCCATATTAAACCCTGGTCCACTTTCATCACCAAACTGCTGTTCTCTGAACTTTCCCACTTTATATTAAGATCATACACGTCCCTCTATCTAACAAATCCTACCCATTCTTAAGGGCCCATCTTTGACATCATTTGTATGAATCCCTACCAGAAATTAGCTCTCTCATAATTTAGTTATAATTGTCTTTGACCACTCTAAGGCTCTGCTTCTTTGTAGTGTTTATTTTTTACCTACCAGTCTTTTCTCGACTATAAATTTTTATATCCTAGAGGCAACACCTTGTTTTATAATTCCTGGGTCTCCCTTCACCATGTCAAACTATAGTAAAAAAATAACATTAAATATAGCAATAGCCGAGTTAAAATTATCATTGGAAACGGCCTGAATGTTCAGTTCCAGGGTTTTCCATGGTACATGCTACTGCCATTTTGGGTAGTATTGCGATGTGCAGTCTCTGACCCCAGCCAGTAAATGCCAGTGGTATCCCATAGTCATCATGACAACCCCAATGTTTTAAAAATTAAAAGCCTCCTAATTATATGCTCATTAAAAAAGGGCAGCCTACCGGTGAGGTAACAAGCAGGGGTTGGCTTGTCTCAGTAAGCCTTCTGGTGTGGATTCAGCTGCCCCCAGCGTGGGGCAGAACCGGTGTCTGTGTTAGAACTTCATTTTAATGAAACTAAATAAGTGAAATAATTTTAGAAATTGGGATGAGAGGACCAATTCCCCAACTAAATTTTTTGTTGTGTTCAATTTTTATATTTTTATTAACACTAACACTTGGCACTCACAGCAGCTTTTCAGACAAAACCTTCTAGAATGTCTGAGGGTTTTGTCTTACACCCGACCCAAGGCCTGGGCAGCAAGCGGTGTGCACGGGGACCTCCGGCCCTCCGTTCTGCCAGATCGCCCGGCTACGCGGGGTGTTACTAGGATATTAGTTTTTCCAGCGTGAGAGCCATTTATCAGGAGCTTCCTCTGAGCTAGGCAGCACTTCCTGTACATTTTCTCTCTCTCTTGTGCCTTCTGAAAGTTTCGAGTATTTTTGTCCCCATTTTATAGATGATGAAGCTGGGGCTTAGGAGGTTTTTGTTCGGGACAGTCATGCACCACGTACAACAGACCACGTATTACAGTGGAGCTGAAAAACTCTTATTGCGTGACTCAGCGTTACAGCACCTCTCTCACTTACTTGTGGCGATGCTGGTATAATCCTACTGCACTGCCCAGTGGTGTAACACGACAGCACAGACATTATGTACAGTACACAATACTTGATAATGATAAAGACTATTTCTGGTTTATGTATTTAAAAATAACTATATATAGTAGAGGCTACTCTTTCTACTTACAAAGGTTTGCTGTAAAACAGCATGTCATGTTTAAACTGGCAGCACCCTCATACATCCCGTGTTTATGACATTTCCTTCCTTGATTATATCAATTTCTCTTCTGCTTGACTTAATCTTGTGTTGTTTTCTGTAGTGATATGGAGCAATAGGCTGCACAATCTAGGTTTGTGTAAGTCACTCTCTGCTGTTCACACAATGAGGAAATTGTCTGATGACACATTGCTCAGAACATATCTCCAACATAGAACAGTCCATGGCAGTAGTTGGTATGTGATAAATCTGGAATTTATTATAGAAATGTCTGACTGCAAAGCCTTTCAACAAGTAAACTATAGAGTACCTGCATAAAAAACCACCACAACCATGCTGACTCTAATCCAGGTTCTATAAGAATTAACGAATGTAATACTGAACCTACAGTCAGCGTTGTCAGTGAACTATGACAGCTGCACATATGTACTGCCTTTGGCCAATTTCTACTGTGACCACAATACGGAATAAATGACTAAAAGCTAAAAGAATTGTATTTATACTCAATCAGTAGGCTTTTAAGTTCGCACAATGGGAATTTTTGAGCTCCACTGTAATGTGAATTACATTAAAATAGCGCCATAAGGTAAAAAGTGAGATAGATGTATATAGTAAACATATTTCACATTTCCTTTACATGTATAGACACTTATGGGGCAACACTCAATGCAGATTCCTACACTGTTGCTTTGGCATCCTTACCCTGACCAGAGCTGCTGAGAATCAGATGCTGTGCTGTGAGTCAGTGTGTCTCTGTTAGCTCTCCTCTGGCCTGTCCTTTTAAAAGTACTCCCAGCCGGGACCGGTTTGGCTCAGTGGATAGAGTGTCGGCCTGCGGACTGAAGGATCCCGGGTTCAATTCCGGTCAAAGGCTTGTACCTTGGTTGCGGACACATCCCAGTAAAGAGTGTGCAAGAGGCAGCTTATCGATGATTCTCTGTCATCGATGTTTCTGACTCTCTCTCCCTCTCTGTGAAAAATCAATAAAAAAATATTTTTATAAATAAATAAAAGTACCCCCAAAACCAGCGTGACAGAAGGTACATAGCTGTATCTGTTGGCCACTTATTAAGAACTGCTTTATAAATCTTACGATTCCTTATGATTTTGAGTCTTTGAAAGGACCTGCATGGAAGCACAGGATTCGTTTGAGCAGCCTTATTACAGGGAAATGAAGCACTTTTGAAATAGCTTTTTGAAAATAGGTTAAGGATCCTAAATTAAGGGCTGCTAATCCAGTCATATTTTTAGGAGGCTGAAGCACAAAAACATAAAATTTCTCAGAGAGCTTATGGCAGAATAGAACTTAGAATGTAGGTCATCTTACTGCAAGTCCAGTATAATCCACTTTACCCCTCCCACAAAGTTCCTAATGCTATCTTTACATAGATGCCTTTTCTCCATTATTATTAACATATATTACAAAAAACAAAAAATCCCTTTTCTACTGAAGAACTCAATAATCACCAAAAATGATCAGTGAGATGTTTTGGTTGTTTTCCACATTCACGTTGACTCTCTTTCTGTCCTTTTCAGAAACTGACCCTGCAGCATGTGAACAGCAACCAGTGCCTGGACAAAGCCACGGAGGAGGACAGCCAAGTGCCCAGCATCAGAGACTGCAGCGGAGCCCGGTCCCAGCAGTGGCTTCTCCGCAACGTCACCCTTCCGGAAATATTCTGAGACCAAATTCACACACGGAAACAATAAGGGTTGACTGGGCTACCTCAGCACACAATTCTGCCACGTTCTTAAGTAGCAAAAAGGGGACAGTGCTCCCTCCTGCAGGTGAGGGTTCTCAGCCAGTAAGACTCACTCACTCCTCACGCTCCGTGAACCAGCCTCCTGCCACGTAGCGAGACTGCACACTGATGTTTACAAGGTCGAAGAGGTTTTTGTCAAGAATCATCGTAAAGACTATTCCGACAGTGAAACAATCAACAACATGTGCTTCCGGAAAGCTGCACCTCTGAGGGTCTGCTTGCACAGCAGTGATTTCCGTGGGACATGCTGTCACGATGAAGAATTTCCAAGATAGAACTGGTAGCCAGATATTAAATATTGATATAAAAATATATGAAAAGAACTGGAACCAGGTTCAGAATCATGAAAACAACATTTTTACAAAAAAAAAAATAAATAAACTATATTAAACAGGGTTTAAAGGAAATTAAAACAGAACTATGAGAAGTACAATTTGTTATAGTATAGTATCAAATTTCTATATAGATTTTATACCTCGGTGGGGAAAAACAACTAATTCCAATGACATTCATTTTGTTTTCATCTGTGATAGTCATGGATGCATTTTTATTTCTCCTTGGGGTGCTGAAATTGAGCTGGGGAAAAAGGCTCTTTGAACGTAGTTTTAATTGCTTTCTACAATTTTTAAAATATGGCTTGTGGGCTGTTGGAATTTTTAATTGCCTTCCAAAAATGGAGATTTAAAATAATGTCTGATCTCACTCAACAGTTAGATATCTCAGTTGCTCTTGGGTCAGCTGGCTCACGGACTTTCTCACACGCACACACAGACTTCTTACCAGGTTTTCAACTTAACTGGATTCAACTGATGATGCTTAATACCCAAGATTCATCTACTGTACTACAGGTTTGTTTTCACAGCAATAAATCTTTAGTTTTTGGTTTATGATTCCACTCTACAAAAGGCCTGCGGAAGTGATTTATTATTTGGGTATTTGGAGATGATGCATTTGATGGTTTTTTGGAAAACTTTTTCACTCCATACTTAGATGTGCTTCATTGTCAAGTGCATATTTAGATTAGGTTCTTGAATTGTAATGATCTGCTTTTTTAAAAAAAATAAAATTTGAATGAAAATGTTTAATTGGCATTTTTTAAATGAGTTAGCCAAAGAAGTGCAGCTATTCCATATTATTAATCCTGCACTTCTTCCCTAAATTTAATTTAGATTAAATTTTCTTTTTCTGTTTTCTAGTACTGCAAAATAACCTGAGTATCAATTAAAAGTTTAATATCAATTAAGTTTTAATCTCATAGACAAAATCTCATTGTGACAAGTAAAGCAATCCACTGGCAAAAGTGCATATATTTTTCTTTATAAGATTTTATTTAAGTGATATTATTTTCTCTGATTATCAAAGACTTTCAAGGTAGGCACTGCTATCTCTTATGCCTTCTGAAAGTTGCATCACTAGCTACTCCCAAGTCCAGTGAAAAGAAAGTTCTCATACCCCTTCAAGTTTATCAGTATCAAGCGCACATGGAAGCTTTAAGATGAGTCTGTAGTACAGAATGCAAACATTCTGTCCCCAGGAAATTTGGAATTAAGCAGTACTGACGGAATTATTTTTCCTGCTTCGTGTAGGCCTAATGCTTGAGTAAACCAGATGTCTAATCAAAAATCATTTTCATGCTCAGAATTTCAGGTTTTGTACTCTAGCCTAGCTTGGTTTTCTTCCTTACTATAAGAAAGCTTAATAGCAATGTGATTTAAGGTTTTGTTTTGTTTTTTGTTCTTTTAAGAGGGGGATGTGATTAATTCATGAGTACTTTTAGAACCTGTTAGATAACTCCATTGCCTTTATTTTTCTAATTAAAGAATTCCTAAATACTTTGAAAATATGAAATATTCCTGAATAGTTGTGCCTTATTACATTGGTGTTATTTGAAGTTAAAATGAGTCCCTGATCATTATATCCATTTGTAGGTTAGGCAATATGCTAATTACTGTTATAAATCAAACTGAGAAGAAAAGGATAAATAAAAGAAGGCAAAGGATGAAGAGATGGGACTATTTGACCAGTGAAGAATTTATAAATGTGACCAGGATAATATAAATATTACAAATCTATCCACCTTACTCCAATCCCAATCCATTTTAATGTCTATTATTGGAATTCTTGTGGGGGGAGGGGGAGGAAAGTACTTTGTTCACCATTCTGCAAAAAGGGCAGCATGTAGGCCATATCCTCCTTTCCTTTCTTGACATTCACTGAAAAGCAGGCTCCTCTGTAAAGATGTGGTGCTCTTCTCATCTCCCAAGAATACCAAGAGCAAGTGCATTCCAGAATCACATGGCTTCAACGGAGAAAGAAAATCAGAAGGCAATATCCTGAGAAATAACTGAAAGGAGGTATACAAACAGTGCATCACTTTTTACACTGTTTGGAAAATTAGATGTATTTCTAATTATATGACACAGCTCCCATTATTTGATTTCTTAAAGATTACAAGTGTTTGCTTGATATATCTACCAGAACTAAACATTTTGCAGGATGTGACACAAAACTTGAGATGTACTCTCTCTACACTAGCAAAGAATTCACAAGGGAAATTAGAAAACAATAGCAGCATATAAGTCACATAAAAGAAGTAAGAGATTGTACACAACATGAAAACTAAAATGTTGCTGAGAGAAACAATAGAACACTGCAAAGACTACAAAATGTTAAGATCTTAGTTTTGCACAAATTAAGCTATAGATTCAGCGAAATCAAAGTCTTAACGAGACTGTCTTGTGTCAATTAGCAAATATATATGGAAATGCATCAGACCCAGAATAGGCAAGATAATATTAAAGAAAAAATTGGAAGACTTAGACTACTCAGTTTCATGACTTGCTTTAAAAGCTATAGTGATTAAAAGAGAGTGGTACTAAAGTTAGGACAAACACATCAGTAGATCTGAGAGAGGCCAGAAATAGACCCACACATGTGTATGGTCATTGGCTTTTCAACAAAACGCCAAGCAATTCAATGGGGAAGGTTTCTTTAGGTGGAGCTGGAGTAACTGGATATCTATGAAGAAGAAAACATTGGTACTTTCCCCACAGTACACAATTTATTCAAAACGGATCACAGATCGAAATGAACGGCAAAACAGTCTAGAAGAACACAGTATCTTCATGACTCTTGGGGTAGGCAAAGATATCGTTAGGACACAAAAGACATTAACCATAAAAGAAACAAATTATAGCCAAAACCGGTGTGGCTCAGTGGACAGAGCGTCAGCCTGTGAACTGAAAGGTTCTAGGTTCAATTCTGGTCAAGGGCATGTACCTGGGTTGTGGGCACATCCCCAGTAGGGGGCGTGCAAGAGGCAGCTGATTGATGGTTCTCTCTCATCGATGTTTCTAACTCTCTGTAAGAAATCAATAAAATATATTTTTTAATTATAAATGTCACCAATATTAAACCCTTTTTCTAAAAAAGATACTGTTAATGTGAAATGGCAAGCCACAACCAAGGAGCAAATATTTGCAATACATGGAACTGACAAAGGACTTGTATGCAGAAAAACAGCTAAAAAAAGTCATTGCAAAAGCAACACAATATATAGTTCTGAACACACAGTTCACAGAAGCTATCCCAATGCACCATTGGCATAGGAAAAGGTGCTCAACGTCAGGCTTCAAGGAACGCAACATGAAACCACAAGGACATGGCCCTGCGTACCTGCCCAATGGTGAGAACATGGAGCAACTGGAAGTGAACGTGGGTATGATCGCCTTGGGAAGCAGCTTGTCCGTTCCTTATAATGATAAGTATTTGCCTGACATGTGACTCACTGACTCCGCTTCTAGATATACAACTAAGAGGAATTGGTTTGTTCGCACCCCATAAGATTTGTACAAGAATATTCCTGGCAACTTTACTAACAATACCCCCAAACTGGAAACCACTCATCCACCAGCAAATTAAAGGATAATCAAATAATGGCATATGGAATACTAGTCTGCAGTTTTTAAAAATGAATTGCTTATAAGAGGGTAGGTCTAAAAAATTTTGTTGAACAAGAAAATGACAGCAAGTTCAAAAACGGGCAAAAACAAATCTAGATTGATAATCTCTGGATGAGTACAGACTGAAAAGGGACAAGAGAGAACATTTTGGAATGATGGAAGTATTCTATAAATTGATTTAGATAATGGTATCATGCATGCATATTTAAAATTTATTGAGCTGTGTACTTAGGATATATGCTTTTTATTGTATGTCAGTTAGACTCAATAAAACGCTGGGGGAAAATATGGAAAATAGTTATTCCTTTGGCATCTAGGTTTTCTAAAACGTTCTTCACTGCTACAAGACACTCAAAGGCTAAATTGCAAAGAAATATACTTCTAAGTGGGATGCTGAGTTCACAAGGAAATGTGGAAAATCCCTAAAGTCCAGGGGGAAAAAAATGGGAGGAAAAGGGATATATAAACTTAAGCCACAGAAGTAATTTATATATGAACATACTACCTCTCCTATAAAATAGACTCAACACAATTCCAGTAAGAGATTTCAATTACCCACTTATAATAGTGGATCGAACCACCAGACAGAAGATCAGTAAGCAAGTGGAGAAATTAACACTGCAGAGTAGTTTGACATAAATACGTACAGAAAACACCAATTATGGCAGAATGCACATTCTTATCAAGTGCTCATGGTACACTCTAGAATATACCACATATTAGGCCACAAAACAAGTCAACAAACTCAAGAAGACTGAGATCAAACAAAGCATGTTTTCCTATTGCAACAGAAGGAAATTAGAAATCAATAGCTCAAGGAAAACTGGAAAACCCACAAATATGTGGAAACTATACACTCTTAACTAATGGGTTGAATAATTCACAAAGAAAATTAGAAAATACATTTGAGACAAGTAAACATTAAAACAACATACCAAGCCCATAGGATGACCTGAAA